CCAAGCCCACCGCTGCCGAGAAGTCCGCCCCGTCCTCGAAGTCCGCCCCGTCCTCGAAGCCCACCACGGCCTCCTAGCCCGTCACCGCCTCCAAGACCACCTTTGCCTCCAAGCCCACCTCCACCTCCATCTCCACCACCATCTCCTCCGCTACCACCACCTCCATCGCCACCTCCAAGCCCACCTCCACCTCCATCTCCACCACCATCTCCTCCGCTACCACCACCTCCATCGCCACCTCCAAGCCCACCTCCACCTCCAAGCCCACCTCCACCTCCAAGCCCACCTCCACCTCCATCCCCACCGCCACCTCCAAGACCATCTCCACCACCACCACCATCTCCACCGCCACCTCCACCGCCACCGTCAAGCACTATCCAAGTACCCAGGCCCCCTCCGTTTCCGAGACCACCCCCACGTCCTAAACCATCACCGCCTTCCACTGTCGCCACCTAGCCCTCCTAGCAACTCCTTGCCTACCCTTGCTTCGAACCATGTCCACCGCCTCCCCAGGTGCCGCAACGCACTTTCTAATATGCCAGTCGAACACACTACAGCTCGCAGCCATTTCTCTGCTGCCACCGCTTATCACCACTCATCATTGCCGCTGATAGCCGCAGAGTCCCTCCCGCAACGCCCAACAGCCGTGCCTGCCACCGTCACCACAGCCTTTCCGGACGCAACCTCTACCCCCCCCAAACGTTTAACATCAGCTCACTACCGCTGTTGCTGTCATCTCCCGAAGCCCTCTCCCCAACCAAAACAGAGACAAAAAGGTGTTTTTGTTGTCTACTTTGGTGTTACTACCCACCTACCTACGTGCAACACCTAATTTACAAAGCGCAGTTCGGCAGGAAAAAGGGCCATCCAGCCTGCTGCACCTTGTTTGCGGTGTCTGCTATAGCCTGGCCAGGGGGAAACATTCTTATTAGATTGGCTTTTGTGCGGCTAGGTGGCGGAGGCGGAGTTGGCGAGGCGGTGGAGTACTTTACCGACCTACAGGTGCCCGCGAATATCGCACGAAAACATCTACCATGCAATTGTTTGTACGATTGTGTTTCTGCACGCGGTGAGGCACGAGGTGCGAATAGTGAGCGTAGCTGTGCTAGTAGTAGGATTGTTAAAGCCACGTCAGCCTCCAGCAGGATGACGACGGTGAGGCGCGCTTGTTTTGCAGCCGATTATTTATTTCTGCTTGGTAATGATGGACACTATTGGGGAAGTGAAGAGGTGAGGTGAGAGATATGCGTTAGTGATACGCCTGCCATGCCCAGCGGCAAGCTCGTCATAAGGCACCATCAGCTTCATGCTTGATGTGGGGGTAGGTGTGGCAGGATGGGGCCGGCAGGGCGTGGCGGGCAGGGTGGGGGATAGCGTAATAGGTTTTTTCTCCATTCCAACATTCCAACTTCCGACACGCGAACAAGCCTTGTTCCTCCTGGGGGGGAAGCGGAAGAAGTACAATAACCAAAACTAGCGATGTCAATGAGCAGGCGAAATGCAGCAAGCTCACCTCAATCGTTGCAACACATCTCACGTACGGCGATACGGGGCCTGGCGAGATCACTGAAAATTCAGTTGCTGGCTGGACGTCACGCTTAGTTCGTTGGTCTTGGTTCGTTGTCATCACAACATAATGGGCGACAAAGGCGTGATGAGCGATTGCTGTATGGCATGACTCGGCAAGGATACTTTTTGGTATTATTGTTGGTCGTTGCTAGTAGCATTCATTGATCAAAGTGTGCATGTACGTACGGGTGGAATGTTGAGAAAGGTAGGTGTGGGCATTTCGATCGTCGAACTATCGTCGAATGCCGAACTGATCGAATTCGAAGGGATGCATTCATAGCATCTCCCCGCCGCGGCAGCTAAATCGAACCCTTTGCTAGGCTGGCAAAAGCTGCCATGGAGCCGAAGCGTAAATTTAGATGTGTTGCCAAAGTTGGTTATAGCTATAGTAGTGTATTAGTTGCCCCCCCCGTCGACCGCTGCGGGTGCCATTATCCAACGCAGATCAAATGTCACATTTTTTGATTTCTGCGCTATCATGTTGGGTTTAGGGTTTTCGGGTTTTAGATTTTTAGTACACATTCCTTTATATTATGATGTTGCGTATTGTGGTATAGGCCGTTTATGTTATTGACGAGGGAAGTTTGTGTTTATGGCCATGATCTTCTCATCTTGCTTTCCCTCCGTAATCTAACCTTTCCTTCTTTTATATTATTGGGCTGTGACTCGGATATATTTGATGTATGTTGTCATCGAATATTTTTCCTCATTATTGCTACTGCGCAGTGGGACAGCAGCAGCAGCAACGCGCGGGACAGCGGCGGTGAGGTAGCGGCATTTATTCATTATTTGCTTTGCATATGTGTGCAGCGGGCCTATATGTACTTCATTTCGCAAAAATTTAAATTGGTTGTGTGAGTTACGATTGAGTGCATGTAGGTAGTGTATCGATGCACTGTCATTGATGCTGATGCTGAGGGAGTAGATTGCATCTGGGACGGGCGCTGTGTACATTGCGCATGTGTGCATGCCTGCGTGGTGAATGAAATGTTTACGGAAACGAGTCTGATGCCCTGATTACATACCCCAGCTTCACTTGCCTTGCTGTGTTGTAGCGCGATAGCAACACAGTAATGATATGTTTATTAAGAAACATGCAAGTCTGATAACGATTACGATATCCTTTGAAATATGATGGTTCTCAAAGAATATTTGTAAGGATACATCGGAATTGAATATCAAGAATCTGTACGTCACTCATTTCTGAAATCCACAAACTTACTGAAATCGTCTTCGCTCACAAAACGATATGTTATTGTTTTAGAAATAGGGGGGTCCTTGTGAAGCAGCTGCCCGCGTTTCTAAAGCACGTATGGTGTTGGATTGTAAGGTGCCCAAGTACGTTTGCGAGGAAGAGAATGTGGCCAGGCTGGAGAGGAAAGTGCAGTGGCATATTGGAATGTGAGATTAGCGTAAGCGAGTTACAGGGCGTTTTATTGCACGGGCGAATTTACGTGCAAATCTTTCACCGTAGCATCAGTCCTCAGTTCATTTCTTGGAACGAACATCAGCATAGGTGCAAGCCCTCTCGCTTGGAGGGATATGCAAACAAACATCCTGATAGGGGTAAACTCGCACGCTACCGAGCATTCAACCGAGCACATGCATGCTTAGTTGAATGGTGAGATGCGACCCCCCCTTCATTTCGCGGTCGGCAAGCCAGCCACCACGTACCAGATATGTTGGCGATTTCAAAGAGACGCTGCACCTCGGTACCTGTGCGCAATGCGTACGCTGCTCGACCGCGCCGACCAAAACTACATGTTCCCATGTGAAGACAATCCCGGTGGTTCTTCAGCAGCTTTTGAGCTTGCTGCTGGCTCAAGTCCTTCCGTAGTTGCTGCAACACGGCTAACGCAGGCACGGCCGAATGCGCTGCGAAAAGCTGTTCCAAGCCCTCAGCGGCATCCATTTTACTTGCAAGGTTCTGAACGACTTTCGCGATTCTTATTTTTACCTAATTCTGCGTTTGTTATTATTTATTTCGTAAGAGTGTAAGTTGAGTTTAGTCGGAACCATGTGCAATATGCGCTGCGCTACCGAAAGCAGGCGCCTTATGGCTTGCACACAACTGCTTGTTCCCCGAACGCTTCATCTTCCCGCGGCAGTTTCACGAGCCCAGTGTTGCAAGCTACGACGTAGGCTTTCGGTGCTTTCAGATACAAAGCAGCCACGCAATAGTCCAGCCTGCATGCCGGGTGCGACTATGGCCAACAAGACCACCTGCGCAATGCGCTGGCGCACCTCCAAAAAATTTATATACACTTGTACAGGCGCATTTTGCGAATCCCACGCGCGCATCCGCGCGGTAAAATTCGCTCCTGGCTTTTTGGACGATGTACGAACACTTTATTCGCGAACTACGACCGGACACATTTGTGCGAGAGGCTGCTTAAAAAGCGCACACTCATGGCCGATCATGTCGAACATTTGTATGGATATCGTGACAAATATGTAGCTGTGGTTGAGTGGGAGGGAAGGCCCTGTGTCTGAAAAACCTTCAGAGGCTAGGCTTACATGCCATGACGTGGATGAATATCCCACTACTGCCCGAGGGCAGGAGATGGTAGGCACAGGCTGCTGCGGCCAAGATGGATCCCTTCGAAAGGGGAGGAATGTAGTAGCTGAAATATAGTACGGCACACATGAATCATGTGACATGATACCTGCTAAGGCATTACACCAGCATCTTGAAAGGCCTTTTCCGCGGCCAGCTACTACAATGTGTAAGTACGAACGTATTTATGTAACGTACGAATAAATGCACATGCATGTTGTTATCGACATCCATGCACCCATCTCACTGTTCTGTCTAGGCTACTTCGTTTGCTGCTGATGTACGTATGCATCTATCTGCACGTGCGTGTGCTTCCCAATAAATTAACAAATTGATGTGCTTATACGCAAATCATCCAGCCAGCCATCGGCCCGTGGCTAGTTCCGTCATCATAGCAGCATGCCACCTTCGAACTCATGCACATACACACACATACATACATACCGACCTTTGCGCTGTGTTTCGGCCCTGGGCCCCCGGCTATTCAGCCCACAGTGTAATCAACGTCATACATACATACATACATACATACATACATACATACATACATACATACATACATACATACATACATAATACATAGGATCTTGGGAACCAGCCGTCTTGGTAG